ATCTTGCGCTTAACCGCTCCTTGATTACAGTAAAAACTGAGATTGTGCCGTCCTTCCCGCTATTTGTTGCCTCGTTTTATTAGATAGTGTTTTTAGCGGATCGAGGTCTTTTTTAAATTATAAAGCAATTATGACAGCCTCTCCAGCCAGGTTCAGAAAAAAGGTGATTTATGGCGTTTGGCACCATCATTGGCCTTAACGCCAAAAAATTGCTCCCGGCCAAATACAAAGGACTCTTCTGAACGTAGCGAAACTAACTTCTTGTACACAATACCAACATGGCCACTTGAGCAAACTCCTGGACTCCCTGCAGCGAGCACGATAAGTTGACAGTTGACCGCTGCTTTTCTCTCAACTGTGAGAATGACTGTAATAGCATCTTTTATATTGCGTTTGTGACTGTAATGTTTTTCAGTTTTGCTGAAAGATACAGCTTTGATAAATGGTCTGTGTGCCAGCATTGTACAAACGACAATGAACTAACTTTGCATGGAAATTGTTTTTGCTTTATATGCCATAAAAGACTGAATCTACTTGTTCCCATTCTCTTTTCTCGCTTCAAGTAAATGAGAAAAAAGAATTCCGAGCGCTTATAAAATCGTCGCGTTACACAAACTCCGACATAATATGCAGACGGTGCTAATTAAGACTAATGTAACAAACTCTAATTTCGCACTAGTTTGTAGTTGTTGCCGAGATATGGAACTGCAAACTTTAGAATGGCGCGTTTTTGGGGACGTTTCCGGGTTTTTACTGCTTTTGTGCTTTTTCATGCTTAAATTATGCAATTACTCATGTTTAGATTAAAATATAACTTTTAAACTAATATAAATAACCGCTGCTTGAACACCATTAATTATGCAGAAAGTCACCGATTCATTAATTTTTTTTTTTTTTTGTAAATTTTTAGTGTTAAGTACTCTGCATTAACATGAAAAGTTTTAAACTAGAGATTATACTTATGTGAGATCTTTGACTACTACGGAAGTGTTGTACATAATATTATTTTAACGTAGCCTAATATTGATCTGTTTTCGCGGTTTTCACAACTCGCAAAATACCAGACAATGTTGTTATTTGTCTGGTGGAAATATTTTAAGCTGTACACCGTGTACAGTAAGCTTATCGCAAAATTGGTAAACACTAACCGAAATTTATAAAATTTATATATTCTTGATCTATTGCATCTTCTTCAACATGCTTAAAACTAGAGGTAAACGCCGTTGTCAATACTGTGTTATATTCAATCGAATTTAAGGACCATGAACAGCGGTCAAGCGGAATTATTTGCATTATTTCCAAGTAAGAACCTCCGAGTAATAAACGCAATGTGAGGTCGTGAATTATGTTGCTGGAAAGTGGGCTCTCCAACTTATGGAAGAAATGTTAAAAGAACAAGATGTAGAACGTCAAAAGGTATTGATGATATGGAGCAACTATACATATTGTAGATGTTGCTTATAATCAAAGGGCGAACACGTGGAGTAAACCATAAGCGGGCATGCCTTGCGCTGCAAACATTGAGACCGAGAGTTTACGTTGACGGTTTTTGTTCTAAAAATTTGCTTTAAAGCTTACCGCCACCCTTAAAAAAAATTATAATGGGGAAAACAAAGATCGCCTGCAAATAATCAAGTCAATAAATTAGTGAAGAGGTACCTAAAGCACGCCTATAGTATGTATTATGTTTTTATTTCGGAAAAATTGAAGTGAGGCGGCCAGGTAAATAATGTCAATGACTTCGCTTAATTATGTCGACTGATGCGCTGGATTTCCAATAAGTCATTAATTTACCGCACAACTAACGACAAAAAACTTGTAATTTTACTTCAACATGCTAAAGACAACCCATATAAGTATTAACTACTTATTACTTAATTACCATTTCGTGTCTTAAAAAATTATCACCTCATGTTTGACATGAAATGTGTTTTTTTTTGGAGTTATAGTGTATGGAGCCCTTGACACATCTTATCAAGTATCTTTAAATTTATCAATTTATTCCACAATTCACAAATTCCACTTCTGTTGATTTTCAAAATATGTAATTTTTATTTTACAACTCAAAATTTAATAAAATAGTTTACAGTTTTGCATTTTGTGCTACTTTAATCATATATCTTTTATCTATAGTTTAAAAATATATCCACTTATTCAATGACTAACTGTCTCGAAAAAAAAATAGTTTGAAATTTCAAATCTTACTTATCCAAACTCTGAAGAAATGTATTCAAATCCTCCAGAAAACTGATGATGTCATTTCAAAAAAGTTATCTGGGAAACTATAAGACTGAAGTTTAAGGACTACAATTTCAAATTATGTTTTTTTCTCATAATTTATCACCACAAATAATAAAACTATGACAAAGGCCTATTTAGTTGTTTACGATATACATACAGGGTGTTATTGAAAGGTACGTACAACAAAATGGACAGTTATTCGCGAAGTCTAAGAAGTCTGAAAAACTTATTTTGTGTTATCAAAATTATAAGGGGAAAATTAACCCTTACCTAACCTTTTTAAATGCTACTGAAGGAGAAGTAGGTAAAATTAATTTATTTTAGTAAATCCTAGCAACTGCAACAATAAAACTTTTGTCAAGACTAAATGTTGCTATAGAAACGAAAGATGATCCTTTTATCAGAGGCGTACAACGAATTTGGTCATAAATTTTAATAATTTTTATCTCTAAAAGGAGAATACTTTTACCTAAACTTCTTTTAACTTTTAGCACCCATACTTCGAGACCAATTGCCGATTTTATTTTGTACGTACCTTTCAATAACACGCTGTATAAACATTATCATAAACAAACAATTTCTTAAATGTTAATAGACCCTGAAATACGAGCAAACAAAAACATTTTTTATAAAAAAAAATATAGAAATATTAGTCACCGTGTAAGTAAAAAAAGGGCCATTATGGAATCGAACCTGTAACCTTCGAATTATTACCAACCTAACCAACTGAGCCAATGAGCGGCTGCTGAACATTCTCCAACGGCACACTATTAAGTTCATAAGTCGAAGGTCGAGAAATTCGATTAAAAATTTTTTATTTATGTTATACGTCAATTTGACCCTCACTGACATAAATAAAATATCGATTTAGATAGTTGGAAAGTTTTTTGAGATGCTATAAACTGAAGATCGATTTCAGGTATCCAACACTAAGAAGTGAATTAAAATATAGTGAAATATGGAGCAGAACATTTAGTTATTTCGATATAAGTTCCCTCACCTATTATAAAGCATTGGCGGCTCGTGAACTTTTGAGATGGGGGGGACACAATTTGATTAAATATGAAGATATAAAATGGGCTGTTGTTACCAGCTAATAGACTAAATTGTATAACGAAAATAAATATAAAAATACATTCAATAAAAGTAAAAAAGTATTCGTTCACATATACCTTTATTTTAACTGATTAAGTGACTATTGAGGAGATACACAAAACAAAGCAATTTATAATTTTTTTCACAACCGCACATCCACAAAAATTTATCATACCTGTTATGTCTATTGAAGCATCTATTTAAATCTCTCTTTTTACCATGAACACTTTTTTTATTAATAAATCGGAGGTGGCTTTCCCTAAATTTTATTTTTTATCAAACATTCAACTGAATTCATTATTTTTATTTAAAATCAAACAATTTCCTCCCGTAATTTAATTACTGCTAGCGGTCACTGTTTCAAATGTGACCCGATTCCAGGCAAATATAACGACTAGAGACGCGGTTTCCATGGCAACGGTGTAAACAACAAGTCTAAATGAGTAATGATTGAGTCTCCGTTTTTATCGAGACCTTACCAACGATATATATCCAAGACACAATATCCTTAGATGTAAGTTTTGATACATTTGATACGAATGCAGCGAGTTAAAAAAATTAATTTTGATAATTATGACACAAACTTTCGGATAATTTTTTAAATATTGAAAATTACTATTTTGCTATATATGCGTAGATGTATAAAAAGTAAAGGTAAAGGAGCATGCTATGCGTATATTACAACTGAGTTTTACCTAACAAAATTTCGTAATGACGTCATCAACATTTTATCAAGGATACATATAAGAATTTGAAAAAATGCAGAGTTAATACTAATAATAACAGTACTGTAAACTCACATTTTCTGGACAGTCTTGATTTGATAAAAAAACTCAATGTCCTAATTCGCTAACTGTTTTCTGCCAGCCTGCACTGTAAAAAATGCATGTAAGGATACATTATTTACAAAGTAATTTTACATATTTAGTTTATGTGATCTTACAGTACAGTGTAAATTAACTCAATGATAACAGTAAAATTACATATTCATGTACATTTCTCTCTAAACTGTAAAAATACATTAGCCACAAGAGTATAATTACAATATTAAAAGTACATTTACACATAATACTAATTTTACAAGTTATGCATGTAAAACTGCTCGTTTATCTAGGTGAAAACACATTTTTTATGAACAGAATTTTGGTTTTACCTTGATCATTTCTATTATTTTTACAAATAAAATAATGTACCTAAAGTTTTAGTTCAAGTGCTATGACAACTATTTATTGAAAACATAGAATTTTTTATAAACATCAGGATTGTAATTGTGAGTGTATAGAGTATGTATAATTTTCAAATAATAATTGTTTGTTAATGAGTAAAGTTATCACTTACTTTTCTGTGACTCATAAAATTAAAGTGATGGTAAAAAAACTGAACGCTTAATTGTTTGTAAAATATGAAATAATTTCTATAGAAATTTCAAAATTATAACTAGGTAAAGAAGTAAGCTTTGATTTGCTAATTTTTTTAATTATAAGTTTATATTTTTTGGTTGAAGTTAAGACATAAACAATTTTTTAAATGGATTTTTTTTTGCATTAAATAGATAAAGATGAACAGTAGCGTAAAATTTAAACATTGACAATATATCTAACAAAAAAACGAAAAATAAGAATTCCAATATATTATTGTTTAGCAACAGTTCGAATTGCGCGCTTTATAGTGCAATCGCATGCAATTCTCTCACTCTCCCACTGTTTCATTTTCCCTCGCATTTTCCCAATCTACACGTGGTGAGCAGAGCAGTTTTGTTTTGTTGTCGAACTTTTGATTTACCGCTCTATTATGTGGATTGACAGTATTTCTAGTGAGATAGTTCCTACAAGTTTGTGATTTAAATAGGGTGAAGCGGTGGGTTTGTTTTGCTGCGTAATTTCAACGGAGTTGACCGATAACCGGTAAGTACTTAACCTCTTCAAGTTTGCATGCAGTTTAAAACGTACAGGTGATTTTTGCAGTTCGTTTGATTCGAAGAAAGTTGAATTTAAATAATGATGAATTACGAGTGTTTGATGTGCCCTTATAAGACGTCGGCATTATTAAGTTACAACGGACATCAATATTTGCATCGTAACGAAAGAGTTTGCAGATTTAGATGTGTGTATGAAGGCTGTATTAATGAATTTGCTAAATACAACAATTTTAAGTCACACATTTTCCGCGCACACTCGCGTCAACAGGCGCGTGTTACAAATCAGCCTCATCCACGTTTTAAATGTAATGAAGAAATGTGCAGGTTTGAATGTATTGCCTTGAAAGACTTGTCATCTCACATGTATGAACATATTAGGTCAGGATGTGTTGTTAAATGTCCCCTCTTGAGTTGTAATAGTGTAGAAACGTTGTATAGAAAAATTCCTCAATTTAAATCTCACATATATCGTAAACATTCTTTGAAATCAAATGATGAACTTGTGATAAACAACGATCATGATAGTTTTCATGACTTCAATGTTCCTGCTGTTAATTTATCAGCTAGCCCATTTCGGGGAGACTGTAGTGAGATGGTTACATACAATAATATTCTGCAAGAAAATAATGAATGTAATTCTTACCTAATGTCATTAGCTTCTTTGTATTTGACACTACAAACGAAACATTTTTTAACAGATATTGGATTACAAACTATGATTGAGTCTCTATTAGATCTTAGTCAAATTTCAGCTGCATCCCTTGCTACAAACCTTTCTCAAATTGGTTTATCTTTACCGGAAAATTTTCTTCAAAATAATAACTTATTTGAAAAATTTCATAAAACAGGCAGTGGCCCCCTTAGAACTTCCTATTCTAGAAAACAGTTCTATAAAAGACATTTTAATTACATTGAGCCACTATGTTTAGAATTTAGGGACAATGACAGTTGGTCAAAAATCTATTACATACCAATTTTAGACACGATAAAATATTTAATGACAAATGATGCTGTTTATAAACATTGGTCACAAGATACAAACGAAATAAACAAAAAGTTGAATATTATTAGCGATATAGTGGACGGAAAAGTTTATCAAAGTAACCATTTTTTCACTGAAAATTCAAAAGCATTACGTCTCATATTGTATCAAGATGCTTTTGAGGTTTGCAACCCTTTGGGCTCTTCAAAAAAAATCCATAAGGTAATTGCCGTGTATATGGTATTAGCTAATATCCCTTCCTATTTGAGGTGTCAGGTTGATCATATACAGCTAGTAGCTTTAGGTTTGGAATCAGATATAATGAAATATGGATTTTCAAATATGTTTAGTGCTATAATTAAAGATATTAAAATTTTAGAAACTGAAGGAATAGTTATTAACACTGATACAAAGGAAACTGTTAAAGGTTCTTTAATTGCGATGACTGGCGATAATCTTGGAAGCCATCACATAGGAGGCTTTACATGTAATTTTTCTACAAGTGAATATTTTTGTCGCTATTGTCACATTACAAAAACCGAATTTGAAAATAACGTGTTAAAAATTTCCACAACTAGATCTAAATATTCCTATGACTTAGATGTTGATTTGACTCATTTAACGAATGAAACTTCCAGAGGAATTAAATTTAACTCAGTCTTAAATGAATTGCAACATTTTCATGTTTGTCAACCTGGTCTACCACCATGTGTAGGACATGACTTATTTGAAGGGGTCGTGCAATATGATCTTATGCTAGCAATTGATTATTTTGTTTCAAAAAAATTTTTTACTTACGAAACTCTCAACTGCCATTTACATGACTTTAAATTTATTAATGAATCCAAATTCGAAAAAATACCCAAAATTAAAAAAGGCGACAAATTACCAGGCAGTGCGAGTGAAAATATGCGGCTTTTGTTTATACCATTAGTTATTTATGACTTAGTTGATAGTTGGGACAAAGTATGGAGGCTTGTACTTATTTTACGCCAGATATGTAGTCTTGTAATGTCTTTTGAAATTTCAGTGAGCCAGGTGGCATACTTGAAATCATTAATTTTTGAGTATATCAGCTTGCGTCAACAACTATTTTCAAGTATTAATTTAAGGCCAAAGCATCACTTTATGCTTCACTATCCCCATTTGATCATTCAGTATGGTCCATTGCGTCACTTGTGGACGCTTCGTTTCGAATCTAAGCATAGATTTTTCAAAAATATTATACGTCATAGTACGAATTATAAAAATATTTTGCATTCGTTTTCTGAGAAGCATCAATTACTTCAAGCAGTACTTGCCTCAAAAAAAATCACATTCAGTGATAAAGTAATAGCCGATAATGTTACTACATACAATTGTAAAGATTATCCAGAACATCTGTCATCTGTTATTAGAGATAATTGTTTATTTGAACACCCTTTTATAACTAATAAAGTATTTTTTAGAGGCATCGAATACAAAGACGGAATGTGTATTTGCTATGGTTGTGATGTTCAATATGGACATTTTTCATTATGTGAAATAATGTATATGCTTGTTGATCAAGCATATTCAAATATTTACTTTGTTGGTAAAAAATTAGAAATTGTAGAAAATTTTGATAATGGCGCATTTGTTGTACAAAAAAGGTATGATGATACAGATTGCGCGTGTATTCATTATTCTAAAATAACACCTAAAGAAGCTTTGCTGCAGTTTGTAGCATCATCAGGTGATAAGTCTAAATTTTTTTGTTTTAAAACAAATCCTGCTATCCAGATGTAAAGACATTGTTTCTTTGCTATATTGGCTTATCTCTAGTTCTGTAGAAGTTTAAAAAAATTTACATACATACTTAGATCCAGTGTAAAGTAACGTTATGCGTACAACGTTATTATGAAATAATTTTTATTATAATACATGTTTTTATGATTAAATTTTAACTTCAAAATTTACCTTTATAAATTAAAATAACGTGTAACTGCATATTTCATGTTTGTTATTATATTGTTGTGAATAATAAAAAAAATACATAAGCTGCTGTTATTATTCCTAATTTTTGGTCTAAATTTTAGTAAACAAAAATGTTAGCGTTCAAAATTTGGAACGTATCACGAACCAAAAAGGTATTCGTGGCCATTGAAGAAGACGAGCAGATGTTATTAGTACTGGTAGCCAAAGGTAAGGGCAGTTATTCAAATAACTGTGTTTTGAAAATTCATTGTAGCCTCAGAAAAACTACAAATTGATGGAAGCACATTAGTGTTAGAAACAGATGGGACTGTAATAGATGACGAAACAGTGTTGAAAATGGTCGAAAAGGAAGTTTTAATTTTGCTGACAAAAGAGGAGTGCTGGGTGTCTGCTGATGTGGCACTGGCAAGTGCAAGTTTTATATCTCAGGCTTCTACTGTAACTATTAGCTCATCCTCATCCTCGTCGCATGAATTGAGTCCGTTTGAAACAGAAGAGAATAAAACGTGGGTTGACTTTGAAATTCCATGGCAATGCTTACCAAAATCAGTAATTCGGGAATGCGAAGAAGGCTTTAAAACAGGAGATTGCCGAAGCAAAGTTATCAACATGATTGTTGATAATGTCCGTGAATTTACCAAACATGCAGAAATAGATAAATTTCGTGCTATAGCAAAGCAAATTGTAGCAAAGTATCCGAAACAATTTGCGGACGTTGATGACGACGGTATCGTTATAGGAGATGGGAATCATACAATTTTGAAAAGATTGGTAGATCGTAATAATTACTTAAACCGACCTCACAAAAGATCACCGAATGCAACATATGTAACAGATATACCTTTAGGAAAAAGAAGAAAAATGTTGAGCAAAAAAGCAGGTAAATTCTAAATTTATCTATAACTATTGCGAAACTAAGAAACCATGTTTTATATTTAGTTCTTTGAACACAGCCACCATTTTACTGTGTTCTGTTTGTTACTTTTCTACATAATTTAACACCAACCAAAAAGATAATTACAAAGAGATTTCCATACTAATTTTCTTCTTTACTGCAATTGATCGTTTCATTTTCAATAAACATTTCTTTTCATCAAATAAGCCATTTGCATTAATTTTTAGAAAGAATAAGCGTAACATTCTGACAAGACGTTTCACCACACATTTATTAATGCTTTTTTAGGTTGTTCCAACTGGCAACCGGAAATCGAAACAAAATCTCCCGAATCACTGGAGGAAAAAAAGAATACACTTAATGCGTTGCACAATGCTTTTCTTAACAACGTCACGTTAGATTTAGAAACTACAACTCTTCTAAATGAGACATACAATATGCAACGTTTATTCCTGAATAAATGTGATGCTCCCACCATAGAAGAAATTGTTACAGAGTGGCCAGTTTTACTTACAACACCAGTTACCTTTTGGCATTTCGAGAAATTAACTTCTAAAAATATAAACGTATTGGAAGAGCAATTTACCCATAAAGCTCCCAAGATATTACAGCTTGGTCAACAAAATAAAATACAGGTAACATGTGAAAATTCCTACCTGCAATGTCTGGAAGTCATAGCCAAGTATTTTAATGAAGACTTGAAAATTTTGGTTGATGAGCAGGACAAGGTTTATACTTCAGTCATATATATATTTTTTTTTATATATTTCTCTTTTATTTTAGCGTAATCAAACAGTCACCTGCAACGAACCTTGCATTAGAACTAACCAAGAAGGTAGGTATAAACCTTGTGACAATTTTAAATGTTATATTGTTACTGTTTTAATTCTAGATGACGAAAACAGGTATTTCATTTATATTGAAAAGAAGAAAGTTGCAGAAAGTACTGATTTTATAACTGCCTTCAAACTAGTATTTTCGTTCTACTATAACTTGAATATGTGCTATCCTAAACAAATATCACATACACTACAGTTTGTACAAATGTATTTTTTTAAAATGTACCCAGAAATTGGCACCAAGAGCAAGAAAAAAACTATTACTAAAGTAGTATCTTTAATGAACAAATTGAAAAACATCTAGGATACTATAACATGCATGCGTCTAACTTAGTATCTATATTTGTGAAAATTGGTGGACTCCATATAACTATGTTAGCGTATTGTTCAATTGCAATTATGTTATCCTTTTTTTTTATTCTTCTGTATTTCGTTTTTATTTGTTTTGTTTATGTATATATTTTTATTATACATACATTTATACGTCGTATGTAGTTTCTATTTTGAGTTTCCTAGAACCTATATTAATTTATAAAGTTTCAGAAACAAAACGTAATTATACAGACTGGCTGTGGAAATGTACATATTTCAGATGTAAAAGTACAATCGTATTCTGTAAAAGTACAGGCATGTTCTGTAAAATTACAGTTGCAGATAGTTGCTTTACAAAACGTTTTGTAAAGTTACATTTATGTATAGTATTTTTACATTTATGATCTGTATTTTTACATTCACAAGATGTGCTAGTACACGAGTAATATGTAATATTTTATGAAGACAATGTATTTTTACACAGCACTGGATTTTTACACGGAAAAAAGTTGGTTACAAAGTTGCCTACTATTTTCCGTGTAATTTTACATATATTTTTTTTACAGTGTGTATAAGTAATACTAAAAAAATAGTAATAATAATTAAAAAGGATTTATACCGATTTTTTTTTTGAGTGGTATACGGATAAATTTCGATTACTTATCTTATTTTATAAAATTAAAAAAAAATCTGTTGTAAATTTTGTTGGTGGGCATGATTTGGTTAGCTTCATCCACATGATATTCCCAACATACACATAAAACTTGACAACAATCGACCCACTAATTTCGAAGATCATATATCTAATAAAAATTTATACAGACAAACAGACAGACAAACGCTATGGGAGACTAATTTTTCGTACTCTAGGTGTCATAAAACGTCGGATAAACCTGAAAGCAGTGATTCGTAGCATGAATCCTAAAAAAATACTTCCTCAGCTTACGATCAGGACTAAAAATTAAAATTTGGGATATAAGGATTTCTCAAATTAATTTTTCTTAACTCAACACTTTCTTGCTTAGGGTTAAAAGTTCAAGACGGATTCACAAACCACAAGTACAGGAGTATGTTATTTTAGAAGATTTAAATATTCTTTATCATAAAATTTTGGGGTGACATTATCAAATGGTTGGTGGAGGATGATCAGACAAATTGTAGTTAGCGTTTTACCATCTACACGATATTCCTAAAATATCTATAAAATTTTACAACTATTAGTCCAATAGTTTCGGAGATTATCTGTTAAATACTTTGCACAGTTGTAAAATGTTTGATAGAAATTTTTTATAGGTTAATTTGGTACTTCAACTTATTATGCGAGTCGGAAATGGCAGACTGACGAAACTGTATTCATTCCATAAAACATTTATTAAAAGTTTATACTTATTAGGTTAATAAAATTTTTGATGTGATACCATTATTCCACTACTTGGAAGTTTTAACTATTTACATCAGCTACTATGTTACTTTGGTATTTCTATTAGCGTAAACTTTGTACAGTTTCCCGGTACCCCAAGACCTTACAGAAAACTACGTACTTAAAAACAATCTTACAAAAGATCTGACTTCCACTGAAATAATTATTTATTTATTTATTTATTTATTTATGTATTTATTTATTTGCGACCAGGATTTGATTTTCTTTTTTTGCGCGTCTGGATAACCACGCTCGTATTGTTTAGTTTATTCTGGTAAGAATATTGAGGCAAAATCAATTATATCAATTATTAAAAGAAAAAAGGGCGTCAAATATTTGTACGTCAGAGCGCTAAATGTAGACCTAAAGTTATTTTCGAAACAGCTGATGAGGGCTAATTATTGTCGGACTCACCCTTTTAAACTAGAATACTTATTAATTATTTTCGCGTTTTCCAAGCCTCTTGTATTCGATTTCGAAGAAGTTTGCTAATACGACGATCTAGTAAAAGTAAAATATAGAAGATAAAGGCATTGATTTAACTACAAAATTTCCAGATTCAAAAACAAGAACAAAGAAAATATTCATTCTGACTGCTAACATATTTTAACAAAATAATTTGTAATTTCTTTGAAAATATTTTGCGCTATAATTTAAAAAAAAATATTTTCTTTATAAATATTTTATTAATTAGAAGAAAAGCAAATTTGCAGTTGAGATGATTAAAAAAATCCCTTAGATTAAAATCGTTTGTTTAGTTAATTTAACGAAGTGCTGAGTCTTTCGAAGCTCAGGCTTTCTTTTTCATTGGGATATTTGAAAATCCCCCCAACTGTTGATTCTTTCGAAAGTTTTACAAATATTGCTAATGCCACAAATGACAACTTTTGTTCATAAACGTCCAAAAATATAAGAAATTGCACTATTAAACTGGCGCGCGTTTACGACAAAAGAAATCTGGACTTTTGAGTTTTTGATAACAGTTATAATTTCTTATTTATTGTTTGTGGTAAAACCTTTCTGTAGAATTTCACACTCAAACACCCGCTTTCAAGTGCGGTTTTAAAATCAAGGGCCCACTTTTGCGGGCGGGTTGTTCTGAATAAGACTTGCTATTAAAAGCTCGTTAGCTGTGTTCCATCTACCAAATTTTTCAGACCTGCACTTCTTAAATGACAACGTATCGATTAAATGAATTTTAAAATATAAAAATTGTGAGTCCAAATCCGGTTTAGCATACCGCCCTCACAATTAATCTTAATTCCGGCTCTCTACATCCACCATTCTGTCGAGTATTTCTTAAGGTGAAAACGCGCCCTTGTAGTACAAACAGCTCAATATTTAAAATACAGCCGCTTGTTTTTGCGTTTCATGTTTGTTTTAGGGGACTCCTTGAGTGTATTTCCGGCGCGAATTTATGCGGAAAAAAGTCGCTGACAGCTCCAATAAACCGGACTTAAGCTTTTGCGACAATATTTTTGATGTTCCATAAAATACCGCAATACATATTCAAGCCGGCATACATAGCAGTTTAACAAAAAGGCAAAAGAAAGAAGCACTAAAGCTTATCTTAACGACATCGGAGGGGTGCGTGAAAGCTGCGACACTTTATACGACCGGCCGGCAGAATTATAAAATATGAATAAAGTGAAAATATTCCTTCAACGGCGAGAAAGAGATTCGCCAAAAGGCTTTTGTATCGGCTGTCGCCGCGGGCAGGATACACGCCGTCAAACAACTTTCACACTGTCGATGAGAGATTTTATGGTTTCAGGGTTAAAATCGATTGCTCAGGGAGAGAGAAGCGGCAGGAATTTTTTCAGGGCCACAAACACGCCGAAAATATCGAGCCTGTCACTGGCTGATTTTTATTAATCGTCGACTGCTCATCGCAACTAATGAACTTTGATTTGGGGATTTTTATTCTCGACGAGAAGGGAACCTATTATGGCAATATGACGTCTTTTACGGGAGAGATGAATCAGCAGATACATTTTTTATGGTTGAACTTATTAAAGCGCCTACAAAAGGCTTATATGCAAAAGCCTTGTCCTTTTGAACAACCGAGGGACGCGATAAAGGAGAATCCTTTGTGTGAATTTATTTTTCTTTGAATAATTAGACCAAGCCGTAAAGAATTTTATTGCGTTCTAAAATTACCAGAAGATGGCATTTTTTAAATTTCCATTTTAACTTCATTCTTTTCAAGTCACCCTTAAGGCAGAAATAACGAAGAAAATAAGAAACTTATCTAGTTTAATAATGAGTTTTCGACTTCTGGCTAGAAAATCTAAATACGAATATATAAAAGGCAATGTCCTGATTGATTGCAATTTCAAATTTGTACCGGATGTTCATTTTATACTGGAGATATCGTTTAAGGAGGGATTTTTCGAAATTCTTCCCCTAAGGAGGTGAAAAGTGGTGCTCAACTTTATATGGAAGAAATATTTTTATAATGCTATTCAACACATAATAAAACACGTATTTCAGATTTTTCGAGATTCACCTCTGAGAAAACGAAAAAGGGTGACAAACTTTGTATAAGAAAATAATAAAAATATTTTTATGGCGATAATTTTGTGCACTTGTTTAGAAGCTTTAAGAGACTATGAATTACATGTGTAATAATATTAAATACATTTGCGGCGAATTGATAACCCCCTTATTTCTAGAGCCTAAGCTAAGGAAGTACTGTAATCGAATCCATCGTGCTTTTATGTTTTGTTGAGCTTTTATGGCCCCTAGAGCCCGAGACAATATGTCTCCCTTTTCTGCCTACTTGTCTGCCGTCTGTCCGGATTTTTATTAGACAAGGTAATCTCCGAAACTACTTGACCGATCGTCGTAAGATACACGATAATGTAAATGGTAAAACGCTAACAAAAATTTGGCCAATAATCCCCACCAACAATACAAATTTACATTAGTGAATGTTTTTAAATTGTATAAAATAAGATACTTCTGCACATGCGGTTTCTGAATCGGTGTTCACTTTTTACCCTAGACATCCAAACAAGATTTGCCAATTTAATTTTGAAACTGCAAAAGCGAATGCTATGAAATCTTGAAAACGTTTTGAGGTTATCTATCGTAAGGATGGTACATAGTTCATAAAAATTTCTTTGTTCATCAATTTTTCGATTTTTCAATTTTTCGAATTTGTGTTTTGAGATTTATTAATTTTTCGGTTCTTCATTTTTTTGATATTTTAATTTTTTGATTTCTGATATTTTAAATTTTTTGATTTCTCTATTTCCCGTTTTTTTGATTTTCCAATTTTTCGATTTTTGAATATTTCGTTTTTTGAATTTTACATTTTTAGATTTTTAAATTTTTCGGTTTTTAAATTTTCGATTCTTCAGTTTTATCAATTTTTCGATTTCTCGAGTTATCGAGATTTTGATGTTTCGATTTTTCAATTTTTCGATATTCTTTTTAATTAAAATTTTTCAAATTTAAATTTTTCGATTTTGGTCTATTTCAATTTCTCGATTTTTAGACTTCTCGATTTAAAATTTTTCAACTCTCCGTTTTTTGATGTTTCAATTTCTCTATGTTTCAATTTTCCAACTGTTGTACAGGGTCATTATAAAATATTGTAGTCGAAGAAGGCCATGATTTTGGTGACATTTTGTGCCGCCTTTTTCAGTTTTGTGGAAAGGATTACACTAATATTGGAATTTTTATTTTTAGCGCCACATTAGTTGACATTAGCGGCTGCACTGTTTCAACGCTTCATCAAATTCTGTCAGATGTCAATAATTTTTTCGTTTGTACTGGTACGTTTTCCCTCACTTTGTGCGTTAATTGACTTGTCTTGTTTTCATTTTTGCTGTCTTCCCCTTTGTTAGAACTTTAATAAGTGTCTCAAAAAACAGTTTTTATCAAAACTACAGATCATTGTGGAATAATCTCAGGTAATGAACAGAGGGGAATAACTATGGTCAGTGTTACAAATGATTTTTTTAGTTCTTTGGCGCAATCATCATGCCTATTACCGTAATGGGGTGTTAAATGAGGATGGGGATGGAGTGTACTCTGTGGAGGCGTCTAAAAACGAGTATCTAGTGAAATGTTCTGTTGTCATTGATGAAGAATCTTTGAAGACGCTTTAGCGGCGAATTGTGGCCAGATTTAACAACACTGGTAGCGTTTCTAAGTGAAAACCGACGGGGAGACCTCAAGTTAGTGAAGACGTTGTTGAAGATTTAAGGATGAGAATGGAACAAAGTCCGAATAAAGCTTTGTCAAAAATCTTTACTGTCTGGAGTACCATACAGCCCATGTCAGAAAATCGTAAAAGAGAAGTTACATATGCGTCCATACAAGATTTTGTTGGTTCAGGAGCTGCAACCAGCTGATTTTCCTTGCCGCGTTGGGTATTGTAGTTGGTTTCAAGCTGATATGGACGATAACGGGATTCTCGATTTGTCGTTCTTTTCTGATGAAGCCTGGTTTCATCTGTTAGGCTATTATGTCAACTGACAGAACTTCAGAATTTGGTGTATAGAAAATACTCACGCTTTTGAAGAAACACCATCACACGCAATGAAGGTTGGTGTGTGGTTAGCTGTTTCCAGACGACGATTCATAGGCCTGATACTTTTTCAAGTAAATGAATGTGATCAATAAACAAAATTAGATGTAGAAAGTGTATGTAGGTACTGCAATAAAGTTTTTTATTTTCAGTAACTTTCATTTTTCTTTCGGTGTTAGTTGCATTCTCTTAATTTAAAACTTACTTCAACTTACTGTTTAGTAATAATTGTAATTTTACTATTAGGAAAGTTAAAAATCTTTATTAAACATTCTGTTGTTTCAAGAGATCTCATAATCATCTACAGAACTCTTAACGCTATGCTCCTGAAATTTTATTGGTTTCTTTTTTGTTATAGAAATTTTGAAAAATCTTGATATTAGGATGGCCATGTGGGCGTGTTTTGGGTAGAACCTCTTTGACATTCCTGTTAAGCAGATCTGGCATGTTTCAGATATCTAGAAACTGCAAAGCTGAAGGTAATGTTTGGACATAGCAGTTTTCACCTATTGTAGGGATGAAGATCAAGGCTTTCAGTTGTGTTTTTTCAAGAGAAAAGCACCGGTCACAAACCATGTCTCCATGTCTGCACCAATATTTTGACGATTCCTTACAATTAACAAACAGAACTTTCGCGGGATCACAACTTTGGCAAAATTATTTACTGCAAAAACTCATTAGGTACTCATAGTGTTCGTTAACTGAGATAAGACTTGCTCTGCCATTGTCCATTACGTGATTTTTCACAATTTTTACCTTCAGGGTACCTATAAAAATGTAATTTTTTAAATAATTACCGTGTTTATTGGTTTCGACAAACTTAACCTCACTTTTTGGATTTCATTATTTGAAAAATTATTGCTTCTTTGCAAAACAGACCAGATGATTTATTCTGTTCAACTCCAATCGACTTTCCAAGGTGTAATTCATGACAAAGCCCTTAAACGTTTTTCTGATATTTTACAATTTTTGAAACTGAAATGTATTGCAGTGGCGTTCACAAATGCTCGATAACACTGCAACCCTTAATGCTCTGGCCTGGCGTCTTTTCGTGTCTATTTAAAATGAAATTAAATCGCAAACCTGGCATGTCAATTTTTGACACATTTGATAGATTTGTTTCGACGTTCGTGACATTTCAAAAGAGTTGAAATCATTTTGGTGATTAGCGGCACGAGAAAAATTTCAATTGTTTTTCATAGGTGAGTTGACTACAGTATTTTATAATGACCCTGTATTTCGACACTTTGATGTTTCAATTTGTCGATGTTTCAGTTTTCCAATTGTTAGAAGTTTCAATTTCTCGATTTCTGGGTTTTCCGATATTTCAGCTTTTCGATTTTTGATTTTTCTGTTTCTTGATATTTCAAGTTTTCGATTTCCCATTCTACATTTCAGTTTGGGAATATGTACTTATTTCAATTTGTAGATTTTTCAATTCCAGATTTTTCGATTTCTCGTTTTTTTTAATTCGTCAGTTTTTCCATTTTTCAATTTCCCGTTTGTTTAAATTATACATTTTTCGATTTTATAATTTTTTAATTTTTTAATATCTGAATTTTTCGATTTTACGTATTTTCCATTTTTCGAATTCTCGATTTTTCAAATAATACTTAAAATTTATCGCTTTCCCGATTTTCCAGATCTTCGGTTTCTCAGCTGTACAACGCTTCGATTTTGAGAATTTTTCCATTTCTGGATTTTTAAATTTTTCGATTTTTCTGTTTCATTTTTCGATTTCTCGACTTATTTAGATTTCGAGATTTCGATATTTCGGTGTATCAATTTTTCAATTTTTAAAATTTTTCGTTTTTTTTTTTAATTTCGATTTTTCAATTTTTCAAATTTTTTAATTTTTCGACTTTGAGCTATTTTGCTTTTGGGCTATTACGATTTCTCGATTTTTCAATTTTTCGATCTTTCGTTGTTTCAATTTTCCATTTATTGTTTCTTCGATTTTTCGATATCTCGGTTTACCTACTTTTCTCGACTTCTGCATTTTTCAATTTTCCAATTTTTTGATGTTTCGATGTTTCAATTTTTGATTTCACAATTTTTTTGCATTTCAGTTATGAGATGCTTTAATTTCTTGATTTTTCAAATATTCGATTCTTCAATTTTCGATTTTAGATTTTTAGATTTCCCGATTTCTTGTTTTGTTGATTTTTTAATTTTTCGTTTTTTTATTATGCAACAGTCGATTTTTCGAATTTTCCATTTCTCGACTTCTCAGTTTTTTCAATATTCAAAATTTTTCGATTTTTTGATTTTTCAATTTTTGGGTATTTTAATTTGAGATTTTTCGGTTTGTAGATTTCTCTATTTCTCGATCTTTTGATGTTTGGGTTTCTGAATGTTGCGATTTTTCAATTTTCCGATGTTTTGATTTCTCGATTTCTCTGATTTTCGATTTTTCGATTTTCCGTCTTTTTCGGCTTCTCGATTTTTCAACTCTTGCTATTTCGTTTTTTCTATACTTCGATTTTTGGATTTTTGGATATTTCAGATTTTCGTTTTATCGATATTTGAATTTTCAACTTGTATTCTTTTCGATTTTCGATATTGGAATTTTCTTTAATTTCGATGTCTCGATTTCTCAATTTTTTCATTTTTAGGACTTTCGATTTTAGAATTTTCTATTTTAATTTCGATTGTAAAATTTTTGATTTTTCAACTTTTGCTATTTCGTTTTTTCTATACCTCGATTCTTGGATTTTTGGATATTTCGGATTTTCGTTGTATCGATATTTGAATTTTCGATTTATTTTCTTTTCGATTTTCGATTTTTGAATTTTTCAATTCTTCGATTGTTTAAATTTTAGATTTTTCAATTTTTCCATTGTTCAGTTTTTTGACTCTTCAATTTTTTTACTTTTCGATTTTCAATTTTTCCATTCTTCCGTTTTTCAAATACGTACATATTTGACTTTTCCATTTTTTGATTTTTCAACTTTTCGATTTTTGATTTGTCGAATTTTCGATTTTTTCTTCCGTTTTTCAATCTTCCAATTTTGTGTAATTTTCAATTTTTCGATATTCCAATTTTTCGTTTATGTGATTTTATTCATTTTCGTTTTTTCGAATGTTTGATTCACTGAATTTTCGTTTTTCGATATTCGAATTTACAATATCTTTGCTTCTCGATTTTTCAATTTTTAATTCCTCGATTTTTCAATTTCTACATTCTTCAGTTTTCAATCTTCCAATTTCGTTTACTTTCCGATTTTTTGATTTCTCAATTTCTTTCAATTTTCTATTTTTTGAGTTTCCGGCAGATTTTCCAAAGTTTTCGATTTCCAAACATTCAATTTTTCGATATTCCAATTTTTTGTTTTTGTGATTTTTCGAATGTTTGATTATTTGAATTTTCGTTTTTCGATATTCGAATTTATTTGCTTTTCGATTTCTATAATTTTCAATTTTTTAATTCTTCGATTTTTCGAATTTTTAATTTTTCAATTTTTCCATTGTTCAGTTTTTAGACTTTTCGATTTTTCGATATTCGAATTTTCAAATTTTTTTATTTTTCGGTTTTGAATTTTTCCATTTTTCGGTTCTTCCACTTTTCAATTAAGTATTTTACTCTTCGATTTTTGGATTCCTCGAATTTTCCATTTTTGATTGTTCGAATTTTCGTTTTTTCAATTTTTACATTCTTCTGTTTTCAGTCTTCCAATTTTGTGTACGTTTCGATTTTTTGATTTCTCGATTTCTTTCAATTTTCAGTTTTTTGACTTTTCGGTAGATTGAAAGTTTTCAATTTCCGAACTTTCAATTTTTGGATATTCCAATTTTTTGTTTTGTGATTTCTCGGTTTTCCGTTGTTTCATTTTTCGATTTTTCGGAGTAATAATTTATTCCACTGTTTTTTATTTTATAATGGTAAAAGTCAAAAGGGGCAAAACCAAATTTTAGAATTTTTCAAGTTGGGATTTATTGAACTTTGAGGAAAGTTCTGCCGAAATAATCTTCTACCAATTTTTTGCAGCTGATTAGACATTCACGTCCGAAAAGCAAGTATTTCAGAAGCGTACCAATTTTGCGTAAAAACATTCGTGTTAATAAAGCAGACAGTTTTTACAACTTTAATGAAATGGACTCTGAATTTCAGGTTAAACTGCGTAATTTCGCATACTACGCATAATGAGATAGAGTAACTTCAGAAAAAATATTTCTCCCAAATTAGATAATTAATAGTAATGAGAAGTAGTAATTAGTTTTGGTTTATAAAGGTCTAGAGTGACATTTTACCACACATATAACAATTACGACAAAGCCCTAGAAGCTGGTGGCGAAGTCCCCTGTCACTTGCATAATTAAATGGGTTGACAACATATTTTGGATGTCATGATTTATATAGTACTCCAGGTACTTCAACTCCGACTGCCAAGATTTATGGCGAAGCGTTGGTGATTTTCAATTTCACGAGCAGGTAGCTGAAACATGGTTAATCACGACTTTCAACACCTGATGCACTTGCATTAAAAGACGGCACGTCGAATTGGACTTTCAAAATGTTCCTGCTGTGCGGAATGATAAATAACTCACTTCTTTATAAACGTAATTTGTTGACTAGTTTTTACTGGATATTTTGACATTACAGACAGCTAATAGACGTTAAGCAGCTATTCTTTATTCATGATGCTGCCGGAAATAGGTTACACTATTAGCTCATACGGTGAAGTGCAACAGAATTTAATTACTTTGGATAAATGAGAGACATCAAGTTGAAATTCTCGCCTATGTGAAGTACATGGAGGAGGCGTCATGTATTATTGCTACAAATGATTTACTTTTTTAATAAAAGATTAAAGCGCGAAGGCCGGATGGGCACTGAATTTAGAATTCCGTTAATGCTAGCTCTACATCCGTTTGTAAAAGCTCCAAAATTATCAATTATTAATATAAATTTATCAAATGCGAGCTTCACGTTAAATTTAAGTCGTGCTTGATGGTCAGTCACGGCCTACATCGCACTTACACAAAGTTAGTTTACATAGGTAAATTTTATATTTTATGTAGCAACATTTAACATTTAAAAATCCAACGCGTTAAAGTTGAAAAAAAAATTAAGTTGATTATAGCAAAATTAGGAGTAGAAATTCAATATGACCTGTGTTATAGTCAGTTATTTAGGCATAGCAAGGACTAATGCAAGCCTGGAAGATAAAAAAAGCAAGAAATTTCAATAACCCCTTTTAGTTCTATAAATAGACGAACATCAAGAACTTTTGTTCATTACTTCCTTAAACTAAAGTAGTAACTTTTGCTAGTTATAAATACTGAAAACACATTCTTTGCA